CTGTTATAATTAATTGCTGCATGAAATAAATCTTGTGATTTGCATAGATGTGCCGACCAAAGATAAGTTTTTAACAAATATCAATGTTTAAAACTTTGAGTTTAAAAAGTTTCCAAAAAGGCGCCACTTTGCTAAAAATGGCCAGAGGGGGAGCGGCCGCTCCCCCTGCTCCACCCCTGCGTACGCTACTGTTTAAGAGATACTATCTCTGTGGGTCTGGGTATCACGGAGGTGAGAAATGTTCAGGGAAGGGCAGTGGTACAGGCTCCTCTTTGGTTTTATTGTGGGTTAGAAAAAGGTGAAGGGCTGGCCGGTGACTTTGGAGCAATCTTAATTTAAAAATAATTACAATCTACATACTTCATAATAAATATTTTTAGATGAATTATAAAAATTCCTATGCATATACAGCCTACACACGTTACATTACATGTAAATAATCCTATGTTAATTTACACTCTCTAAATATTTAATACATAAAAGTATTAACAAATATCATGCAAATATATATTTGTGACTTTTTTTTCCTGTGACTTTTTTTTCCTACAATCGGGTTGAACCTCAGTATTAATGTGTCTGATAACTTCCCTGCCGGATTATAAGGGTCTTAAATTGTATAACATGCTACCCAGATTGGCTGAGATTGGTTATTACCCAGTGGTCTAACGTTTGCTACAGAAGTGTGGTTGTACTAGATCTATTGCTACTAAATCTTGTACTTAACAGAGAATCTAGAATCTACATTAACCAGATCTAGATAACCTATAATATATTACTGCACTTGATCAGATTCGTCTACTTAAATTCTAAACGCAAACAGAATTGCTAACATTATTTTTATTTAGAAATTTCGGCCACATATTTATATTATTCACAAAACTGTAAATAACAGTATAAGGATCTTCAATTTCTAAGAGTTCAAGTCTTTTAACGTATTTTTCCTTTTCCGCGGGTGCGATTCTTTACATAAAGTGAACGCGTCCAGCGCTGGTGAACAGCTGATTGTGTTTACGTCTGGTGTACACCACTGTGGCGGCGGACGTAGGTATCACGTGATTTAGGTCACGTTTGAAGCGTGGGGGGGGGGGGGGAAGTTATCATCTGTATTGTATTTCACTGCTTTAATTGAAACCAATTACTTACTTTTATAACAAACAAATAAAACTGTGCTAATGTAATCAAGGAAATCCGCCTTTTACGATTATATCCTATTTAATTAAATATAATTGCTCATCTCTAATGGCTACTAACTCCCTTTCCCCCTCCCCCACCACTACTCCCTACAAGAAGATTTATACACAATAAGTCGAAGCTTGGTATATGGCTAGGGGTGAAAGAGGATGGGTGGAGGTCCACCTTTCACCCTTTTTTTATCAGTCCAAAATTGACGCAACTAAAACGCTTAAAACCTTCCCCTTTCCTCCAGCCCCCCCCCCCCCCCCGCCCCAACCTTAACACACTGCCGGTTGAGTTTTCCAAAAGTAGAACTCCCCCCCCCCCCCCCATCCCCTCACGGCAACGAAGGAAAGTTTTTTTTATATTAAAAACTTAATGTACCAAGAGGCGTAGCGGCCCTTCCCGGCGCCCGGGGACAAACTTTTCGATTTGCACCCACCCCCCCCCCCCCTCGAGATTTTGACTTGCACCCCCCCCCCCCCCCCCCTCAAACTTTCGATGTGCACCCCCCTCAACCTTTCAATTTATTTTTCCAACCCATTTTGGCGCCCCCTAAGGTCGGCACCCGGGGACATATGTCCCCGCCCGCCCCCCCCCCCCCTCACTACGCTACTGAATGTACCACCTTATGTAGATGATTGTAGGAAAAAAATTCACAGGAAAAAAAAACACAGGAAAAAACAGAAAAAGAGTCACAGGCAAAAAGTCACAAATATATATTTGCATGCAATGTGTTAATACTTTTATGAATTATATATTCAGTGAGTGCAAAATTAAATTACGATTAATTAAATGTAATGTTATGTGTGTAGGTTGTATACGCATGGCAATGTTTATAATTCATCTAATAAAATACTTAAAAAAAACTTTTTAAAAAACCAAGTTTTTCTTGTGGACTAAAAAGTAGAAAATAACTATTTACATACATTTGATGACAAAAAACGTGGGTACGTTCACCATCAAATTTCCCGACCCATCTGCCCGACCCACGTTTTTTGTCATCAAATGTATGTAAATAGTTATTTTCTACTTTTTAGTCCACAAGAAAAACGTGGTTTTTTTAAAAGTTTTTTTTAAGTATTTTATTTTCTCCTTTTTAGTCCGTTGCTACACATGAAAAACGTGGTTTTTAAAAAAGTTTTTTATATAGTTTATTTTCTACTTTATCTAATGACTTGATTAAGTATGAATTGACTAAGTGTTTATAAATACACGGACTAAAAAAATCTTGAGCGACCAGGATTCGAACCTGGGTTGTCGCGGCCACAACGCGAAGTACTAACCACTAAACGATCACGGCCAGCGCGCTCACATCGATTGGGGCCGAAGTAACTGTGTCAACAAGCCTCCAGTCTTGTCGGTATCTTTAGAAATCATGTCCTCAAATTTATGGTCCTTTGGGCGTAATTAAATTAAGCTAATTACGGTCTCTAATTGCTAGTTTTTATGATTGCATCTGAAATTGTTAGGCGAAAGTAGCATGCATGCCAAATTTCAGGTCTCTAGAGCAATCAGAAGTGGGCTAATTTTCGATGTCAATTTTAACAACAAACAAATCCACACATCCACAAACGCGAAGCTGAGTTAAGAAAAACGTGTTAAAAATATTTAGTTTTAAGTATGTAGATTACTAATTATGTAATTGTAAAACATAATATTAATAGCATTTAATAGAATGTTCCAACGTCCTCGGTTTTCATAGTGTTTTTTTTTTAAATACTAACATTAAATTACCATGAAATGGTAAATTCATCTGACTTGCTGCCCTCAACTCATCGTAAAAATAGTTATGCTTAGTTCAACCACCTGTACTGCCCACATTTATCACGCTCATTACATAACACGTATACTTGTGTTGGAGGGGATCCCATCAAACACTAAAATTAAGAACAAAAAAGGAGAAGAATTAGACGAGTATAAATAGAAAGTTCCCTTTCAAACCAGACGGTCTAAGGGGCAAGTGAAGTAGAGTTCACTTGTTTCTGTGACCTTGGCATATGAAGAGATAGTGTGGTCAGCACTATGCCCAGCTGCCATTACTTACCCTAATGTGAGTTAGGTGCCCATCAGAGTTGGGTGGACTCAAGGACGGTATACTGACTTGAACCTGAGACTTACAGGTTAGCAGTCCAGCTCTCTACCGCTAGACCAATCCGGCATTTAGTAATTGATCAAGTAGTGGTAAGATTCTTAAAAAGAATGATGACTAATACTAATTCTTTTTAAATTATTACTGAAAATCTCTGCCTATCTGTAATTTATTTGTTTGTGAAGCCTGTTATTTAAACAAGTTTATTAAAAAGTCTAGTGACATTTAAGCGCAATTCCTTATGTTATCTAAAAATAGCTCTGTCGTAGCGTAAATCAAGAGCAGGGTTAGTAAAACCATTGGTTAGTTATTAAAAAAAAATTTCAGTATTTTACATGTTTTATTTACAATAGAGTTACATGACTAAAAACCATTGCGCGCCTAGCTACCGAACGTGATGTCGCAGCCATTGAACGTGATGACGCGTGTGGTGTGGTTGGATAAAAATGCCTACTAATTCGGTCCAAATTTTAATTAATTAAAAAAAAAAATTGTGACCGAACGAAAGGATATTTTTGAAAACTTCCTTCGGCAATATTGCTCTAAATTATGGCAGGAATCGATTGGTACATGTTTCAAGTCGCTAAGTGGTCTGGTTGCCGAGATATGGGCCAAAAACTGCAAAAAAATTTTTTAGGTTTTTTGGCTTTTCCGGGAAATCCATGAAAGAAACCCGGAATTTTTATGGCCTATGTTCATCCTTGTAACTTGCTTCACATAATTGCTTTTGGAACTAGTCCTCGATATTGCTTCGTTGAGGAGGAGATACGACTTAAAGCTGCGGACACACATTTAGCCATCCAGAAATGACGGGTTAATAAACGCAATTCTCCAGAATGGAAATTGCGCTAAAAATAATTAATTAAAATATATAGACTTCTAGCCTGTATAAAGATATAAGCATAGTTCTGAGAATAGTGTAGACCTACAATTTAACCTATGCGTAAGTGTCTAGTATATAAGGACTAGATTCTAAATCTGTCCTAACACTTACAATTAAATTACAAAACTATAGGTTCCCTCTTTTAAATGAAAACAGGTGTGTTAGTTAAAGCAAGAAGATAGTGTAGCAAATAATAGGTAAGGTTATTAGAAAAGAGCAGAAATTGAATTAATTAAACTTGTGTGGGTTTTATTTCTAATGATAAAATTAGAACATTTACTCTAAATATTACAGACAATTATCTTTTTGGCTGAAGTTATGCAAAAATGTTAAATGACACATGTGACTGTGTTAGGTGGTGTGATAGTCCTTCAAGAACCATAAATAAATTATTATTTTTTTAAAATTATGATTTGTGTGCAGATCTAGATCTATATCTAAGTGTTTATAGTGCAGTGTTAATAAAAATATAGGAAAATCGTTGAAAAGTATTGAAGCTGTAACAACGAAGAGATAGTGAGCCTCAGTCTGTGTTGCAAACTGATGCATGATCAAATGACCCTTAAGAAAAATTGCCTAAGTCCACTATAAATACATATTAAAACAAATTTAATTGACCAAACCGAGAATAGTCTAGAAATTATTTGAAAGGCCCATCAATTATTTTAATTTGTTTTAAAAGCATTTGTTTGTAGGCACAATGTTACTAAAATAAATACGGTTATAAAAAATATGACTGATTTTTGTTGGATTTAACTAAAATTGGATGTAGGGCCTATTTGATGATTTTAGCATTGACAGTAACTAAACAAAAAAACACCTGAAACAATTTGTTGTGTACATTTAATCACTGAAAATGACAACAAACATAGCTGAACTAAGTTGTATGGTCAAAAAAAATTATTTAGGCCCCTAAAAATTGTATTGACTTAAATAATTGACTAAGTTTTGAGTACAAATTAAATACTAATACAATTTTTATTAAGTGTAATTTTGAGAGGATCGATTTCAGAGATCCATACAGCCAATGAAGGTCTGTCTTACAAAAGTGAAACTTCGGAGTTATAAAACTTTACAAGTATTATGTAGAGTAGCCTTGAACTAAAAATAATAATTTACAAGTTCTCTGGATATGCAACTTTTGGTAATCTATCACTTTAGGTACGGAAAATTGCCCACGACTAGTAATGTGAAAAACAGGTGTTTCCTTAAATTTTAATAATTATTTCACCTTTTGAGGAGGATTTAAGTTTAAAAAAATACAAAAATGTTTCCTTGTTTCATTTATGCACCTGTTTTTAAATAGGTCTGGTGCCCAAGTGGCTGTCAGCTGTCCATAAATTTTCTACCACACCTACACTTATTGTACTCTGAGTATTTTTATCCCATTTAAAGTTGTTTTTTTTACAGTATAATATTTGTTATGAGTCTTGAAAATGAAATTACGTGTGTATGGAACTCCATACAAGAGACACAACTTGACATCAAAAGAGCTGCATGCGGCTAGACGCAAGCAGACCCCTGTTGTATACTTTACCACAACAAAAAAACCTTTTCATAATACAAATATAAAAATTGATAAACTATGGCCCACTATTGGATAACCGCTAAATAAAGTTATGTGATGAGAAAAAATTATAAAAGGGTATTTTAATAATAATTTGCTCTAGAATTAATTTATTTTGTTAAAAAATGAATTAAATTGGTGTTAAAAGTTTTCTTTCCAAACCTGATGGTATATAGGGCAAGTGAAGTAGAGTTCACTTGTTTCTGTGACCTTGGCATATGAAGAGATAGTGTGATCAGCACTATGCCCAGCCGCCTTTACTTTCACTAACGTGAGTTGTGTACCCATCAGAGTTGGGTGGACTCAGGACGGTCTAATTACTTCAACCAGGATATGAACTCGAGACTTACGGGTAAGCAGTCCAGCTCTCTACCGCTAGACCACTCCATCCCCAAATTGGTGTTAAGTCATAATGAATTTCCTACCTTACCTCAAGAATGGATTTTTTATGAGTATTAGAATTAGATATTTGAGAAAATCTTTAGTAACAAACATCAAGTGGCTTCTTTTCCTGATTGATTTTTCTCATGTGCATATAGACTAAAACTATTTAAAACTTTGAGAAAATCTTTTATGACAAAAACCAGATTAATGTGGCTTGTCTCTTGAGTGACTTTACAAGTGCACTTAAATAAGAACATTGATAAAATCTTTTATACATACATATGGCTTATAACCTGTAAAAACACATATGTCATAACAAATTCTTCTTCTGAGTAAACCTGTTGTGACTAATATCACGTTCATGTGGCTTTTCTCTATAATAATTTTTTTTTTGTGTGAAGATTAACAAGAAATATGAGAAAACCATGCATGTCAAATGTTACATTCTAGTGGCCTTTCTTCTAAATGAACTTTATTATTTTGTCTTAAATCAGAACTTCGAAAAAATCTTTTAAGACAACATCACATTCATATTGCTTATCTTCTGAATGAATAATTTTATGACGTTATAGATCCTTCATATCCACAAAGTTTTTATGACAAACATCACATTCATGTGGTTTATCTCCTGAATGAATAAATTTATAATGTAATAGACCCTTCTTATCACTAACATTTTTATGTCAAACATCACATTCATGCGGCTTATCTCCTGAATGAACTTTTTTATGTCGTAATAGACCCATCTTCTGCACAAAGTTCTTATGACAAACATCACATTCATGAGGCCTTTCTCCTGAATGAATCTTTTTATGTGTTCTTAAATTAGAACTTTGAGAAAACCTTTTATGACAAACATCACATTCATGCGGCTTATCTCCAGAATGAACTTTATTATGTTCTCTTAAATTAGAACTTTCAGAAAACCTTTTATGACAAACATCACATTCATATTGCTTATGTTCAGAATGAACAATTTTATGACGTATTAGAGCCTGCATATCCACAAAATTTTTATGACAAACATCACATTCATGAGGCCTTACTCCTGAATGAACCTTTTTATGTGTTTTTAAATTAGATTTTTCAGAAAACCTTTTATGACAAACATCACATTCATATTGCTTATGTCCAGAATGAACAATTTTATGACGTAATAGATCCTTCATATCCACAAAGTTCTTATGACAAACATCACATTCATGAGGCCTTTCTCCTGAATGAACCTTTTTATGTTTTCTTAAATAAAAACTTTGAGAAAACCTTTTATGACAAACATCACATTCAAGTGGTTTCTCTCCTGAATGAATAAATTTATGTCGTAATAAACCCTTCTTATCACTAACTTTTTTGTGACAAACATCACATTCAAAACGCCTTTCTCCTGAATGAATCTTTATATGTGTTCTTAAATTAGAACTTTGAGAAAACCTTTTATGACAAACATCACATTCATGTGGTTTATCTTCTGAATGAACTTTTTTATGTCGTAATAGACCCTTCTTATCACTAAATCTTTTGTGACAAACATCACATTCATAAGGCCTTACTCCTGAATGAATCTTTTTATGTTTTCTTAAATTAGAACTTTGAGAAAACCTTTTATGACAAACATCACATTCATATGGCTTATCTCCAGAATGAACATTTTTATGCATATTAATATTAGAACTTTGAGAAAATATTTGATGACAATGAACAACCTTATTTTTGTCCATAGACATTTGTAGATTTTCTTCAAGTCCATTTTGTTGTTTGTCCTCAAGAAATAAAAATTGTTTAGCCAAATCTTGTTTTAAACTTTCAGTAGTTGACAATTCTGGTTTTATATTTTTAGATGTTGAAAATACTGCTGTTGCAGCAGGTTTCTTATTAATTTTTTCAATTGAAAATGTAATATCAGGATTAAAATTTTGAGAAGAATTAAATGACTTGTTAGGTTTTATATCCTGGAAATTAAAAAATGATAATTCTGGTTTTAATTCATCAGAAGTAGAAAATTCTGGTGTAACATCAGGTTTAACATCTTGAGGGTTTTTAGATGTCATATCAGGTTTTATATCCTGGAAATAAAACAATGTTGATAATTCTGCTTTTACGTCTTCAGAAGAAGAAAATTCTGTTGTAACATCAGGTTTAACATCTTGATGGGTTTTAAATGTCATGTCAGGTTTTATATCCTGGAAATTAAAAAATGTTAATTCTGTTTTTATGTCTTCAGAAGATGATAATACTATGGTTGATAGATCAGGTTTCAAATCTTCAGAAGATGAAAACTCTGTTAATTCATTTGACTGTATATCTACAGTAGATGAAACTGCAGATAACACATCTGTTTTAACCTCCATGCTGGACAGCATCTCAGAAATGAACTGATGATTAAAAAAACATAAATGTTAAACCAATGTAAATGTTAGTCAAAACAACTTTAATAACATGTCAATAATTGCAACACATGCCAGACTTTTGTTAATCTTCTTCTTCGTTCTTAATTATTAGTGTTGAAGGGGATCGAGATTTATCCGCCAGGGGGTTTGAACTCGAGACTTTTGTTCGAATTTATCAACCATGAGTTTTTTGCCGACTCAACAACGCTTTTGTTAATCTGATTACTAAGATTTGATATGAAAATAGATGACCAGTAATGCAAATCCATAAGAACTGTAGATTAATATCTTGAGCTACCAGTTGTTTTTTTTTAAATTATTTATCAAAATAGAATTACTAAGATATTAACAATAACAAAAATCAAAACTTGATTTGCTGTTGTTAGTTTTTAATTGTAAATAATAAGTGCTTAATCTTATCCAAATATGTAATAAAAGTTTAAAAATTAATTTTAATTACAGTTGTAAATTGTAATAAACAACTTAATGAACACTTGCTCTCTTCAGGTAGCTTGGTACTAATTCGCACGAAATGTTTTTTTAGTTTTGTTACAGAATAGGACTTGTAAGTTTTTGTTCTCTCTCACTTAAATTCAAATCCAGTTAGCCAGGAAGAGATAAAATTTGAACCAAATCAATTGTTGTGAACGGGATTCCTATTGATAACAAAAAAAAGGGCGGCTTTAAAAATCATAAAAAGTTGCCATAAAGCAACATTCGCAATAACTTTCAACGCTATTTTATTTGTATGGCAGGGAACAAATATATGTGCTTGCATAAAAGTTGTGTGGTGGTAAGTATATGGATTTAATAATTTTTTTTTTTTAAAATAAGTATAACAGTAAAAATATATAGGCATATAAACCTAGTGAAATGGGTACCCATGGTTAGTTTAATATAATCAACAAGCTACAGCAAACAAAAACGTAGCTGACATATTATAATCAAATATGTGAATAAAATTATACCTACATTCTTGTACATTATATGCTTTTTCGATAATGATAAGAGTCAAACATATATAAATATTGCTAGAGTGATGCTTTAAATTTGCTAGTATAACAAAAAAAGGGGAATTATTTTTAACATATTATTATATCGAATGTAAATGTTATGATTGAGTTGCCCACTAGGTTATCAAACTAATGATAACTTAGCTTTTTAAAGATGGACATAGATCTAGTATCAATTATCTTTTTAGACTAAACCTGAAAATATTAGTTCATGTGATGGAAAATGTTATAGACCTAGACCCGATAAGCTTAAATTAGAAGGAGTCTACTAAATATTTAAAAGGGGTTTTGGAATTACTTGAAAAAACATTGGAGCCAAAAATCACCACCTTGATAATAACCAAGCCACATCTATATTAGTTTTTCTCACTAAATCTAGAATTTACGCAATTATCAATTTAAACATGACCACTGAATAATAGACATCCATATTTAATCCATTAGGCACTAACTTTGGAGTTTTTAGTTCGTTTTAAACTAAATTATTTAATTTAATATTTATTGTCAATCACTGCCATGTCCAACACATCTCTCCATGACAACGCTTCTAACCCTTGAAGGTAAAGAAAACCACACATCAGGTTAGACTTTTTAAGTGGCCATGCACCCAGAGTTCCTCACTAGTAATCATCAAATAGCGGTCACGTGGTTTTTAAAAAATAAAAATAAATTGGTTGTGATACGGACGCCGGTCTTATAAAAAAACAGCTCACAATATTTGATTTCTTTTTTCATAGACTGATAAAACTAATAGTGCTTTACGTTCTCGCTCATTTCTGTACCTATACTGTTGATATTTTTAAAATTCTATTAATTTTAATGAAACCAACTTTTGAATTTAGCCTCCGTTCTCCAAACCAAATTTTAAAATGCTTTTCTGGCATATCTAACCCTGCCACCTATGGTTTGTTGTTATGACACGGAAATCCCGCCATTTTGCGCGTGGTAAACATTTTTAAATATAATTAGTTGAAGGTCTCTGGAATTTGGCCGAAAAATCGCCGGAAATCAAACGTCCGGTCCGGGCGCCATATTGTTGTTAGCAACCGACCACGCCTCCAAGTTAGCGAGAAATACTAATCTATATGTTTATTAATATTATATGTAGGCCTATGCTTTTAGAGCCTTTTAGTAGTAGCAGACTGCTATTAAAATTTGTTACTGGTATCTCTCCCTCCCACTGATATCATCAGTGTGTACGATTTAATAACCCACATTAATGTGGGCAAATTTCAAACATCGTCATTACCAGCGTGATCGCCGCCCCGTTTTCTTGTTATATCAGTAGCCTTTTGAGGATTTAGATCTAGATCTATGTTTTGAAAAATACAAAAACGTTTCCTAGTTTCATTTAGGCTATGTACCTGTTTTTAAACAATTGAATTAAAAAATTTCAGTAATAAATGAAGACTAGCGATGTTTCCAACAGATGCAACCATGCTCATTTACTATAGCAGCCATCTTGTTTATTTTTTTTTATTGGTAGGCAAGATTCAGGGGAAGCCACTCTAACTTACAGATGGCCGCTTTTTATAAAGGCCTAGAATAGATCTAGACTCTAGATTCTAGATCAGTGGTTCCCAACCTTTTTCGAGTGGCGACCCCCTTTTATAAAAAGTAAGTGACCCGCGACCCCCATAGAATTAAAAAGCCGAAATTAGTATGGAAATTAATAAGCACTAAAATAAGATTATCTAGTAGACTTTCAATTTGAACTACTCTTGATAACTGTTTTAATAGCATGAGTAAAATTGCATACTATTCACTAAACCTTCGTGGTTAAGTTTTTAATTAAAACACATTTTTGTTAACGCCAACCTATGTCATTATAATTATCTTAATTTTGTTTTTAATCGAAGAATAGTGTTGAAAATATATTCTCGAAAAGTCAATCAATTTTACGTTTGGGTATGAATGGTGAATACTACACCAAAATTGTGTCTGCAGTTTTTCCTTTTACTCGGAATCATTCTGCAAATCAAAGAATTCATTGTGTAATTTATCGGGAATGCTGGCAACATCAAGGGAAGAAGAGAATGAGTAATGCGTAAATGCATATTCTTCTTTTTTCAGCTCAGAGAAATAGCGATGCAGTTTGTTTTCAAGAGATTCAAGATGCCCAGAAATCGCTTCTTTCAAAATTTTAATTATCTCACAATCAGATTCATTTACCACACCGCAGATTTTCTCAAATTTACAATATTTCCTAGATTTATCTTCTTTACCGACTTTGCAGCTTTGATAAAAATGCCCCGAGATTATCATGGAAAGTTATAATATTCGTTCATTTTCCCTGAAGCTTCGGGTTAAGCTTATCTTGATGCTCGAACATATCTGCTAGGTATGATACTCTCTCCAACCACTCTATGTCGTTTTAAGTATACCAAAAAGTCTTGTTTACTTTGCACTCCCAATAACAATTTGATTTCAGATTTCAATTAAAAAACATAATTTACAACATTTCGTTTGACAGCCAGCGTACTGTAGTGTAGAAGAGCAGAACCTCGTGATCTCTATTAATGTTTTTGCTCAGTTCTTTGAAGGCTCCAGATTTTATATAATTTACGACTTATACTAGTAATGGACTCTTGATGTCGATTGGTTAGGGCAGTGGTTAGGGAGCTAAATCTTTTCTGTTTTCTGAAAGCCCGATTTTGAGCTAAACATAGATGGCGCACCATCCCTACAAACCCCCACAGCCGTTCTAACCCATTTTAATCATCCAGTTTCAAAAAAGGTATTTATTTTCTCCATGCTATCTTCATAAAAGAGCAACTCTTCTTTGCAATCATCCGCATGAATATAGACACAGACCAGCAACTGCGAACACGAACTCACGTCTGTTGATTTATCAACTTGAAAAGCAAACAATGGTGAAAGCTTAATTTCAATAAAAATGTGTTATTTAACATTTACGTACATGCAGCGTTTGATGAGATTTTCTCCTATTGTTTTTTTTTGCTTGGCATTTTCTATCGCGACTTCATTTGATGCTTGCACTAATGCTGGTGAAAATTTCCTGTTCGATCAAGTCTCTGGCGTTTGCAACTAGCTTCTTACCGACGAAAGAACTCCATAAATTTTTTGGTGTGTTCCGAATGACTCGTCTCAAATGACGTTTTAGTTTTGAAGATTTCATAGATTCGTGACTGAAAACAACTTTGTACAGTGCGCTTTGTTTCTTCTCTATTACATTTCCAGTGATGTTAATGAAGTTAATTTCAAAAATTCTTCAAATTACTAAGGTTTAGTATACCAGTTGGCGACCCCCCAGAAAGACCTTCGCGACCCCCAGGGGGGTCGCGACCCCCAGGTTGGGAACCCGTGTTCTAGATCTATCTACTCTAGTATTAGGCATACTGCCTAGCTTCGCTTAGGTTTTCAAAAGCATTTGATAATTTGAATGCTAATTATCACGATGAGGTGTGGAGTGCTTAAATTTAAACAGTAGGCCCTAATGCTAATTTTAGAGAAGATGTTATTGAATGTTTTTTAACATCCGTTTTCGGAGATAATATTTGAATTGTATGACTAAAATGGAATTAGAACTACAGAGTTTCCATGAACAGTATATCTCATAATTTATATTACATTGCCTTTTAAAATTAATTAATTTATTTAATTTGGATACGTAACTGAATTAACAACTTAATTTTTACTAAAACAAATGCTATACTTCGTCATTTTCTGTTTCTGTTTAAAATAGTATTAGGATACAATTATTTGAAAAATAATAATTTTAAAAACGTTACCTCCCTTGAAAACTGAACGTATGACGTATATTATATCTTTGTTTTCTTTTTAGCGCAATTTCCATACTGGGATTGCGATTATTAACTCTTCATTTCTGGATGGATGTGTGTCCGCAGCCTTTAAGTCGTATCTCCTCCTCAACGAAGCAATATCGAGGTTTAGTTCCAAAGCAAATATGTTAAGCAAGTTCCGAGGATGAACATAGGCCAAAAAAATTCCCGTAATTCCTTCCTGGATTTCCCGGAAAAGACACAAAACCTCGAACAAATTCAGTTTTGGCTCCATATCTCGGCAACCAGACCACTTAGCGACTTGAAACATTTACCAATCGATTCCTGCCATAATTTAAACCAATATTGCCGAAGAAAGTTTTCAAAAATATCCTTTCGTTCGGTCACAAAAAATTAATTAAGAACATTTAAACTGAGCATCGTGTAGGCTTAGGATGATATTTTAAACTGAGCATCGTGTAGGCCTACTCGTTAAAATAAAACTATTTCCGTTGATATTTTCTATTACCCCCTACACGTTCGCATATTTTTAAAAAATCTCGTTAATAAATATTTGTTCTATTTTGTTTTGAATTATTAAAACTACTTGTGTTGCATTATTTATTTGCTGAATATATGATTTATCTCGATTTAAAATTGTTATGGATAACATAGAGAAATTGCGCTTAAATTGTCACTAGACTTTTTATTAACTTGTTTTAAACACAGTTGCTATGCTTATATAAGAAATTACGGTATATGAACATATTTAACGATTATAATGGCTGTTTCCGACGGGAATAAAGTTTTTTTGTTACCCTCCAGGGTCGGTCTACGACGTCACATAATATTAAGGGGATCGTTCGTCAATTTATTTATATATATCTCATATAAGAAGAATTTCACTCACGATCATCTTTTAGCCCTCGTCGAGGGCTTTGGGTCTGACCAACAGTGTTTCCATACGGCCTAGTCATCTATAGTAGTGTATGAAAAAACTTAGCATGATGTACAGACGTTAAGTAACCTAAAAAATGTGTTGAAAATTCCCTGTTTTTCCTCATAAAATACAAAGATTATATAGGGAAATACGACTGGTCAGTTTTGACCCATTTCCCGATTTTTCCCGGACATGGCGAGTTTTTGGTGACACCCCAAGGCATTCTCCTACCACCTCACAAAATTTCAAGGGGGGGTCGTCGGAGGAAATTTTTTTTTCGTAATATAGCCCATATAAGGCGCCGGTCAGTCGGGGTCAGTTTTGACCCCCTATCCGTAGACTTTTCGGCAAACCGACACCGGCCCTCGTGTTCTATCGCCCCAAGGCACCATTGTGCCAAATTTGACGCGCCTGTTGCGCCGGGAAGACTTGACCACTTTGCTTTATACATATAGATATAGCAAATCTTGCTCGCAAACACTGCTGTTTAAAGTTAATTTTTTTCCTATATTCATTGATTTAGATTTATAATCCATTGATCTATTATATTTGACACAACTATATCACAATATAGTTAGTCTCGTATAAATTCAATTTTCTTCAAATTATAAAAAGAATAGCGTATATCTGCAGAGCTTTAAAAATGCAATCCAACAGTACCAATTTTATTAATTTAGCATAATTGGTTGATTAAATATAATTTATTTTTTTTTGTGTCGCAAATAAAATATATAGAAACGCGACCAAAAACGCAGGTAAAAAGTCAAATTCACTTGTTTTAAATCTAGTAAGCAAGAAAAGACATGATTCTTTCTTACTATTGAAATCAGTTTGCTTATACCTACATTTTTTTTACACCAAGGTGAAAGTAAATAGTTTATATAAATTTATAAAATGCCATTTATATAATTTATTGTATGTTTTGTGATGAATTTTCATTTGGAAAATACCGCATTTGGAAGCAGAAAGATAAATTTTACAGATCAGATGTTGTTTCAAATGTTATAGATCTATATCAAAATGTTTGTTTAATTAAGTCCGCCCATTTCTGATGGGTACCGGATATACATTGGGGATATTAAAGGTAAAAAGTAAAGGCGGCTGTGAATAGTGCTGACCACACGGACAATCACTTCATATGCCAAGGTCAAGAAACATGAACTCTACTTCATCTGCCAAATAGATTGCTTGGTCTACAGAGGAACCTTAATTAATGTTTACAGGGGCCTAATAAAATTGAGTTATGTTTGTAAAAACATTAGGCCTAAGCTTTAAAAACTTATTTTGGTCAATATCGGAAAAAATAAAATCTTTTCGACTAAATGAGTTGAAAAAATCTTTGAATTTGTGTTATTGTTTATTTGTTATTATAGCTTGTAGTATTTAGAATGAAGCTTTCTTTCTTAATTACAAGTTGTATTAATTTCAAACCTTAATGTAATTTCTTTTTAATTCAGTATTAGCCTAAATGTAAGGTAGGCTACAGAATTCAGATATTACCTATGGTTTGGTGATTTTTATATGTTTATAACATTTCTATTTATGAAATGACCTGATGAACTTATTAAGCAAACTGTTTTTATTACAAGCTTTTATTTAACTCACTTCCTCGACAGTCTGTCTGTCTGTCTAGACGGAAACGCAGGAGTGAAAATTCGGACAGTTCTACTTGACCGATACGATTCAAAGTTAGCACGTGGGTTAAGACATGAAGACAATGCAATCTGAAACTAAATTTGACTTAATTGGATGCCTAATTAATTTTTTATGAATTAATTAAAATTTGGACCGAA